GTCATCACCCATCAACATCTGGTGGAGTGGTTTGCCAGATGCAGAAAGACCTGAAAATCTGTTGTTTGGTCCCTGTCCTGCGGCAGATGATGTTACTGCAACGGAGCCTTTTGTTTCTCCACACCTAAGGGTCTGGAAACAGCGAGTGAGCATTTCATGCTCGTGTGAGCAGCTGTTTACTAACATATCAACACAAACAGTCACAAATGTGCACACTGTCCAGAAGAATAACCCGGTCTCAAATGTTTGAAGACGAGCGCATATCTACCTCACCATTGCAGCCTTTATCTCTGATGCGCTAATTGATGAAAACTGTGCCCTGAAGACCTGCTGACCTGAGCGGCGTCTCATCCACTTGACGGTGTTGTCCATGACCTATATATCACAATGGATGGCTAACCATCAGCACTCTCATGCCTCTGCCCATTATATGGTCCAAGAGAACCAGTCCATTCTGCACCCAAACGCAATACTAAACAACTGAAGCCTAGCCAAGAGCGCTCACACAGCCAGCTTGAATGCACGGCATGTCCAATGACTTGAATTCACTGGAGCTGCCATGGTTTGCAGAGCATGACTGTAGTGCCTTCCAGATGGTCTATGGCGCTGGCCATAGTTCAGTAGTGCACACCTTTATTCAGCTGTCACACTTTCAGCACAAATTTCTAGTGGGCATGCAACTGGGTACCAAGAAGAAATGAACTGCCGTTCCACAGCTGCCAATAATCGCTTTGAATGCGCATGTCCAGTGCATTGTTGCATTTTGGCAGGCACAAGCATTTGAGTTCATGAAGATTCAGGGTAGCCATGGCCAACACCTCAAAGCAGATGTTCTCTCCTTCCCTGTCGCAGTCCAGCCACAGGACAAGGTAGTCACAGTCTTTTGCCTCATTCTGCAGGTGCTTGCAAACATGTGCCTGACGTCAACGTGCAAAATACGGCATCAGTTGGTCCTGGTACCTGAAGCTATGCAACACAGCCAAGACTATGCAGAACAGTACCTGCATACTGTCGAGTTCTTTTGATAGTTGACCTACACGATGAGGATGGCACTGACATCCATGCGCCACGACTGCGAGTGCTCAGGAAGGACCGACAGGCACACTTCCACACTCGTCCAGCTCTTCGCCATCCGCTGCATTCAAATGATATTTGCAGCATGTGAAATGGCTGCACAATCACCTTTGAGAATGGGGTGCCTTCCGTATGACATGCGTGGTGTGACAATCAATAGCAACCACATCAGCCACTGCTGTTGCCAGAGTTTGCTGCAAATCCACACCTTCGGGTTGGCTTCCGTTTTTATTGTCGGCGCGCTGAAGAGTGTCGCTGGGTCTGTTGTGTCCCAATTCTGAAACCGGGGTGGAAAATCAATGGACAAGACATGGCCGATGACAGATGTCATCTTGAATTGGGCAGGTGCGCCAAGGAAGGTACCCGCAAACTCATGGACCTCCAGGTTGCGCCGGTGGGAATGAGTCTGCGGTAGCACACGTGCAGGCAGCCAATCAACCCTTCAAATTGCCCCGCATTCTTCCAATCTGCGAGTCAGCATTGCCGAACAGGAGCGACGGGGCAACTATCCAATCCATCAGCGCTGCTGAGCTTTGGAGTTTGATCGCTTTCGTATTTTGGACAAGGTGCAAGTGCATTTCCGCACGCCATCGTCCTGCCGGCGCAAGGGATGTGTTCTGTGACCTCTCCACAAAACGAGTCAACGGATGTACGCAGCACGGCGCTTTGCACTGCAGTCTTACGTGCAATGCCCTTTTCGACACCAGAAATTGCCCCCGAGACGTCATCGGACGCTGAACTGCAACGGTCCTGCTCTTCGGGCGCCGAACGCACCTTGCCATCCGACAGAATCTGGGATATGGACTGCGCCAGGCTGGGCTTTTCAGCCACCATCAACACCCTCGGCGTCCCCACCATCCCCCCGCCTGGCGCACGCGAACCGACGCGCCCGTCTCAGATCGCCACTTCCGACTGTTGGGTGCTGCTACCCTTGCCTCTCGTCGTCCGGGGCAGGCGGTGCGAAATCGCCATCATTTTGCGCCTTGCACGCGACAGTGCAGGCTTTGTGTGCTTGGGGACCCATAGGGTTCGCCGGTGATTCCATTGAATTTAGCACAGTGTAGTAGAGCAGCGCTGAGCAGCATTTTCTAACAAGAGGCCGTTCCCGATAGTCAGACATTAGACCGGCATCGAGACCGGTACAAAGTCCAGCACCTAAACAGCAAAATATCTAAAAAATCTGAACCTCAAACAACAACGCTAACCCTAAAAACGTAAGAAAAGAAACATACCTAGAATAGCAAGCAGAATACCTAGAAACCTAAACAATATTGAAAAGAAATTGATCAGCGTGAAGTGGGGAAGGTACAAAGCTGCCACCCAATGCACTCTGCGGCGGCGCGGGGTTCGGTGGCCCAACGCCACACGCCCCGAAGGTTTGTTGCGGCGCACTCACTGGCGTGTTCTGCCCCTGGCATCTCCAAATCGCGGAACTGCGCTCCGCATTCTCTTGATTTGAGCGCCATCGTCGGCCGCCAAAGCGAATCGCGGGGCCACGATGGTGTTGCAGGATTTGCTTGTTGAAACGGCCTGACGTGCGTTCTAATCGTTAGCGGTCCTCCGCCCGGGGGTGTCGGGCCAGCCGGGATCGAGGTCGTTCGAGTGTCCGGCGCCGGGCCCCTTGCGCGCCCCAACAGCCAATGCACCTGTCGCTGGCGCCAGTCCGCACAGTTAGCTGCGCGCTTCCAATTCCGGGTGTGACAGATTTGGAGCTACCCGAGCCAGGCACCTATGGGGCCACGCGGGCCACAGCCGCAGCTCTGAAGTAATCCAGGTTTCACGGACATAGCCATGGACAAGTAGATGGCCATCTGATTTTGGGCTGGGGCTGTACATTATGTTACGCTGAGGTTGCTGCTGCAGGCCGCTGCGATCGAGGGCCCAAAAGTTTCTTTGCTGTTAAGATTCTTGTAGTGGAGCCATCAGAGGGGTATGATGACATTGGCCTTTTCCTTCTTTCCCCAAATGAGCATCTGTTGATGATTATCCGTCCAGTGTCTGATCCCATCTCGGCCTTGTATTTTGCCTGCTGATGGCCCCAGAGTGATTGACCGCCAGCCTCGCCGAAAGTGTGTGTGTGTTTGTGTTTGTGTGTGTGACTGCTGCTGATAGTTGCAGTGTCCAATTGGTAGGAAAGATGTGGCCAGCCCATGGTGATGTTGACTACTGTGTACTGATCTCTGATGAGACACAGAAAAACGACTTCTTCATCTTCTGAGTGGTGCTGGCTACTGCTTGTCTAACAGTTTTCCACAATCCAATGAATAGAGCGCTGGAGCAGAGAGCGTGGGTGGCTGCCTGTGGTGGCCAGAGTTGAGCTCAATTTCTTGGCCGCCCCCTGCCTGAGCTTTTGGTTTTGATCTCTTGGATACTTTGTCTTGTTTTATCCTGCACAGGGCAAACCCTGGCCCTCATGCCTAGCGTGCAACGACGAGCATACCGCTCATACCATGCATTTCTTGATCACCTTGTGCTCATTATGCTCCACTCAAACAGCTGCTCTTTGTCAGAATGTGGCCCAGATCCTTGTGGTGTGTTCGGATTTCTTCGGATGCCAACTACATGGACAAAGACATTCGGGATATGTTGGTTGCCCCTGGAAGCCTTTGCCTCTGCTAATGTGACGAACAGGCCATTCCTGGCCCACGGCTGGCCCTTTGGAGATTCTAAAATACTTGTTCCATGTCGGAAAAGAAACCGGAGTGAAGTATCAAAATTCATTTTGGAATGGCAAAATTATTGCAGGTACAATATGTTCATTCACCTCCATTCATTTTTGTTGTCAATTCACCCCCATTCATTTTATCCAATCCCAGTACAGATTACTGGCAGGCGGGAGTTTTTTGGACACATTTGTCAGCATGGCTGACATGTTGGGAAGTTGTTGGCATTTTCCATTCATGAAAGTGGTCTAAGCTTGCTGGAATGCAACAAAAGAACCGCAACGCTCTTGGCAAGCCAGTTCGACTCAGGACCCATCACTGGCAAATACTGCTGGTTTCTTGCTCTATGCCAGTTGTGGGTGGCACACACTGTGTTTTTGACGTGGGTGGGATCTCAGGGCTTCCCGGGATTACTCCATTGCCTTCATTCACAGGATGGCGGAGCACAGGGTCTCACGGGTGGGCACAGCCTCAGGTGCACAAGTGGGGCACACAAACTTTTCAACGAAACAGTTTTATGGCAATGGTCCTTGATGCACCATGCACAGCATATCGTCAACTTGAAGTGCCCCTGGGCAAAATGACAAATACTACACCCAAACGAAAGAAACGGTGAACATTTTGAGGAACGATTTGAAACTATCTTGAGCAAGCGTGTTTCCCCTTTCTGGTGTGCGTGTCTGCCCAGGGGCGACCGCCAGACTGACGAATGTGAAGAAATGTCACAATCCCACTGTCTACCAACCCGCCTCGCGGCCCAAATTGTCAGCGCCATGAACATCGCGACGAAACGCAGCAGGCAAGTGCCGTAGTATATTCAAAATTTCTCAATCAAACAACATGACCATTACGCTTTCTCCGCAATTTTTTCAGTGCGTTATTTTTTTTATGTTGCTCTACAATAGTTTGATTGAAAAGGCGTTATTTTTTATGGCTTTCTCCGCAAAAAAGGCCAAGCGTTACGTAACCGTGCGGAAGGGTTGAAGAAACCACGGTGGGGCCAAGCACACGAGATTGCGGGGACGACCAGGTGGTCCGTTCTGTCCAACATTCGCCGTGCCAGAGAGCGCAACACCACCCCTGAAACCCACAGCCTTCCCGCACAACCGCAGTACTGGGCTAGTACTACCACCACCCAAGTACTGGGCCGCGCCCTGTCAAGGAGGAAGGAGGAACCCGCCTGCGCTGCACCACTGTGGCAGTCCACAGCGTCCAGCAAAGGAGAAGGCCGCGCCGGTGGGGGGCCCAGCGGCGAGCGTCGCGATGCAGTGGGTGGCCGACGCCGTGAGCTCGCTGTTCTCCAGCGGGGAGGCGCAGGCCGAGTGCCAGCGCGCGGAGAGGGAGGGCCTGCAGCGCGATGGCGTCCTGACCAAGGTGCTGGGCCCCTGGTTGCGTCCGCGCGCCGCTCGTGTCGCCCTCGTGCTTCGTGCGCTTTGTGCTCAGGTGATTTGCGCTGCAGGAGCAACTGAGGAAGTTTTTCGCGGCCGGGTACAAGATGTTCGACAGCGAAGGTGCGGCGAGACGCTTGCATGGGGCCTGGGGTGCGAAGGGGGGGGGGGAGGTGGGGGACTTGGAGCAGCAGTTAGCTGTGAGGAGTGACTGGCTCCCAGCCAGCTATCGGGACAGTAGGCCCGTGTTCTGTGTCCACGTTCGCAGTGCGCAACCTGCGTCTGCGGAAGTAGCGCCCCGCGGACACACGCTCCTGTTGTTGGCAGACGCTCGTGGGCGTTCTGAATCCGTCTGGCGCCCTTGAGCCCTTGATTTCCGAAAGGGAGAAAAGGGCTTACCCGGAGTGAGGCGTCCCCGTGTGTGCTGTGCAGATGTGAAGGCGAACCTCAAAGAGGCAGCCAGGAAGAGGCAGGTGGGAACCTGCGCGGGCACCGACCATCTGATGTCTTCATGCTTAGTTGGTTCAGGGCTGATTCAAGCGGCTGGGCCCGCAGCGCCTGGAAACCGAGCTTGCTTTACCAGTTTTTCAGTTCTTTAGTTTTGCTTTGCTGATTTTTGTCGAGAGCAAGGCCGGACTCGCTGTGAGCAACCATGCCCTGAGCCTAGCTTTACTGCTCTCCTTCCGTCTGGAGGGTGATGCGGGGCCATAAAGGAACAGCACGATAGCCAACGTCCATGAATTTACCATCAACCCCTATTGACATGCCAAACCCAGTTATGCCCACTTTATCTACTGCCCACTTTTCAACCAGGTGTTGCTTCCTTGCTCCACGCAGCACCATGCAGTATGATTCACCCAAGGAAAGGTCGCTGCCTGCTGAATTTGCTGCTTTCTTGGCACGCAGGATGTGGGTTTCGTGGTCACTGAGCTGCAGAAAGAGATATTTGACTCCCTGGGAATAGATGGCAAATACGGGATCTCTTTCCTAGGGAAAATAAGGGAGAAATATGGAGACGACGCTGATTTCATGAATGAGCTGATGACATTTGTAGACAGGTTGGTTTGGGGATGAGGGAGAGGAATGGGAGGCATGGGGTCTGAATGCGCAATGGACAGCACAAGCAGCACTCTCACCTCCAATGCCTGCCATGTAACCCCTGGCATCAATCCATACAGCAGTTGGCCATGCACCACAGCTGTTTGGCTGTTCATGCAGAAGGCCCTAGTACAGAAAGTGACCTGGTACAGATGTAACCGCTTGCTCAGGGTGCACTGTGTTTGAGCAACTTACCACTCAGGCTATTCAAGGAGCAAAAACTGTGGCCACTCCTCATGAACAACAACGTTTTGAGGTTTGTGTATTGTCGATACTGCTTTTGAATGCATCGGCACTAGCCTGCAGTAACAAACATTACTTGACACTGCAAGAGCACTCAAGAGCATTGATGTACAATTGGTCTTGCAGCAGCAATGGCCATTTTCCCACAAACAAACAGGGAAATACAAACACAGCTGCAGTGCAGATTCCTCTGGTCTTGGAGTATGTAGACAGGCGATTTTCAACATATAAGGCAGCAAAAAGAATGCTTGGTGTTTCCCATCTGCAGTTGGGGTTGAATTTGGCCTCTCTTGCATCAAGCACAGCTGGAAATGCTTCATCTGTGGCACTGCTCTTGTGAAAGACACTAGGGGACTTACTTAGATGAAGAGGATGGTATTGCAAAGACATGCTGGATTGTTCCTCTTTTCACCTCAAAAGCCAGTGGATGCTTCTGCGTTGTCATTAAATTTGAAGTCAGCCACTTAACATGGAAATGCCGTCTGCCCAGCAAAGGGCACAAGGTTGAGCATGGCTGTTGGTTTTCTTTTGGCCAGGACCAACTTGTGCTTGCTCTTTGACAGCTTGCTCTTGCGTTTTGTTCATCTGGTACCTGATGAAATCAGCTCATCATTTTTAGTACGAGACCAATATGGACAGGGTGTTACAATTCCCTGCCTTTTGGGGTAAAGACCACTGCCATTGTTACCCTTGTGTTGATCATCTACTTTGCATCAAAGTGTGGAGTCTCAACAGAGATTGAGGAAGTTGAGCGCTATTCATTTACCCTTGCTATCCTGCTACTCGCTAGGGAGGAGCTGGCTTTGGATGAAGCTGAGCTGCCCGATGACAAGCTCGCCAAGAAACTGGAGATGCGGCAGCTCGCCATGCAGCAGATGACGTCCATGAGGGAGCAGCTGCGCCACATGAGCCCTGAGGAACAGGTGCAGTTCATGCGGGGGCAGAGTGCGATGATAAAGGAAATGAATGTAAAGCACAAGGAGATGTTTGAAAAGGCGGAGGCCATGTCCCCAGAGGAGCGAAAGAAGTTCATTGAAGAGCAGATGGCCGTTGTGAAGAAAAGGTTTGGGGAATTCAAGGCTGGGGCGTCCATTCCACCATCGTGCTCTGGACATGGCCATCCATCAGCGCGGGTGGAGCCCTCTATGGGGTCTGCGATGAGCACTGAGGAGCAGATGAACTTTTTCCGGTCTTTGAGCAAAGCTAAGCAGTGAGCATGGTGATTTTCTAGTATTAGCTACACAGCAAGAAGGTACTAAAATGTCACTAGGAGGTAGCAGACTGTCCAGCCGCGTTTCTGGAGGACTAAGAAGCGACCTGGGCACTGAGTGTCTTCATGGTTGGTTAATTGGTTGGTTGGTTTGACATGTAGGGATAGAACAAGTAGGCCATTAGATGGCAGCGCTTCCACAGGCAATGTGTCTTGTGGGCAGCCAGGGTGTCTGTCGGCTGCTTCATGAAGTTGTTGCCTGGCAGCACAGTGCTGGCTGGGAAGCACGTGAGGTGGCTGGGAGCCTTGGACTGCTCATCCGCTTCTCCAGCCAATGCCCTTCAGAGTGCTTGTAGTTGCGGAGGTTTGGCAGAGGGCATGCCTCGGTTTGGGAAGTTGAATTTTGTTCAGGACATGAAACGACACCAATGGCCTCTGCGTTGGGGATGTGTTTGCTCACATGCCATGATACTGCGTTGTGTGATGGCGGTGCTGCATTGGTGTGGACTGGGGCTGGGGCAAGGTGTGAGGATGGTGTGTGGGGCAGAGGCTTGTCTGCTCTTCTCGTCAGTAACTCTGTACTTTCTTGACAGATTGTTGGCAGAGCTCCTTGTGCTTGTGCTACGAAATGCGGGGCATGGCTGTGCTGGACAGCAGACTGTGGGTCCCTTAGGCCGCTGCACAGAGGGCATGCGCTGGAACCTACACAGAGTGACGTCTGCACACAAACTCTCTAGAGATTTTCTTCAATTCTCTTCAGATCTGCATGCGAATGGGACAAACTCTCACTCTGAGCCACCTATAGGGCTCAACGTGAGTCAGCACTGACGATACACCCCCAGGCCGACGCCAGCCCTTGATTGGTCCTCGAAGGCAATTCTGTTGCAGTGGCATTCCATTTGCTGTGGCAGATCTGCAATCCTCTATGGTTATCTGAGGAGTAAAGCGAGCAGCCCACCACAGATTTCCATGCGCCGCTTTGTTGGAAGAGAACATTCTCTGTGGCACGTGATACAGATACAACTGGCCATCCAACTGCGCCACCATGCAGAGCACGGGTCGACAGCTGCAGCGGCTGCTGCCACTGCGTCTAAACTGCTGCGAGAACGATTCCCTGCTCGGCCTCATTCACACCTGCTCCACGACAGGGGCGCAGGGTGGGCAATACATTGCGCCCCAAGGAAGGGGGAAGGGGTGTTCAAACATTTCCTAGGGATGCAGGGGTAGATGAACAGATACCCCCCCCCCTGAGACTTACAGCCAGCTCTCCAGAGGTACCCAACAGGCGATCTCCCGAGAGCTGTCCACGGTACCTGTCATACACAAAAGATGGAATGCCCGGCGTCACTGCCACACTCCCACCCAGTGGACGTCTTGCGGACTCAAAGTCCGCCATCGAGGTCCAACACGAAGCCATGCCCCCGTGGCAAAAGAAATCCAAAACCGAAGCCAAAAAAAGCCGTGATTGGTTCGTGCGAGGACAAAGGTCGATCAAAGCGCCAAGGTCCAGCCCACATCGAGCATCTCTCCCCCGCGCACTTGTTGCGCCCATCCGCCTGCCCCGACTTCCCTTCCACGCCGCAGGCGCCGTCCACAAAGGCCGCTGGACGCGACGAGTCTAGCAGGTGCGGCCGGACGGCCACCCTCGGCGGCAAGGCAGCGCCGCTACGGTCGCGTCCTATCCCACCGGCAGGGTCTGCCCACTCAATGCGCAACCCTGGAGCCACTATCCGTCTGTTCAAATGCCTGTCCCAGGCTCTTGCGGAAGCCCCCCAACTCGCTTGCGGAGTGGCATCCTGTTCCTTTTATGCGTTTGGAACATCGTGCCGACGTATCAGGGACTGATTGCGCGAACGTTTGGGGTGGATGCGACGCCCTCCTCCCGCCAGGCACTCCGTTGCCATTCCGTGGGATTGTCGCGCATGTGTGACGCATTGGGTGGTCGAACGGCGGCGTGGACTCCGGGGAGCGCGATGCTAGGCTCTTGAAAAGCGCCGTCGGGATGGCGCTGACCCTTCCCGTGGAAATCGGGGAAGGGAGAGGTGCCGTCCTGTTCCAGTCCCGCCACTGTCGGCGCCCCTGGCCAGCTTCCGCCCGCTGCCGATGGCAGATTGCCAGATCCCGTCTGGGCCACGCCGAGCCTCGGGATGCCCCCGCGGCCATCGACCTGCATTTCCGTCCGTGCGTTTTCCGAGCCTTGGGCGTCGATTCCGTTTGCGTCCACGAGGGGCGAACGCGATGCGAAATTTGGTCTCCTGATTGCCGGAGCGCCCGTTCGCATTCACTTCGAGACGGCCATGCTTACCGCCTTGCTGTGCCCCAGGGGCGCGGTAGGGGCGGGCGCTGTCGGCATGCCCCACCGGGCGTTGGCGGCCCTTGGCCGGGCCCTGGACCCCCAACTGGGCGCGGCGCACCTCTGCCCGGCGGACAGGGACGCCATCGCCGCGCCGCCCTGCTGCCACGACTGCCGATACTCCGTGAGAGCGCACAAGGTGGTCACGTCGCCCGCGCCCCCTTGATGACAACGACGCGAGCGTGACGCTCTATGAAAACAGTGTCCGTGGACACCGGGAGCCTCCAGCCCGTTGATGTCCGCCAGATTGCCAATCCCTCTATCGCGACGGCCGTTTCCTTGGCGCCCATATTCACCGCGCGTTGCCGTAGAGGCCTGGCCCCTCGTCCACTCTCCTGTCCAAAATACATTTTGCAAATATACCTTGCCAACCTTGCAGTTCGTGCACACGAAATTGCTGTTCCATGCTTCGCCACCACGGCGCCAGTTCCGCCCATGTATCGCCTGAAACTTAACCCGCGACCCGGCCTGTGCGCAGGCGCTGAGGTCGCCCCCGCTCAGCCCGGCCTTCCCCGCCCTGCCCTCCCCCTCCCGCCCGGGATCCTCCTGCATTTGCCGGGGCCTCTTCGGCAGATCAAGCCTGCCCGTCCAGCGCGACCCCTTGGCCGAGGTCCTGGCCATCCGCGCGGACGTGGAGAGGCAGATCTCCGGCCTGCAGGCGGAGCTGCGGCCACTGATACGCAACCTGGAGGCCGAGGTAGCCAGCGCCGCCCTGGCCAACCTTGTGGACCAGAAGAACAAAATTGTGGACAAGTTCGAGGCCACAAAGGCCAGCTTGGTGGCCCTGGAGAGCGCCGTGGCCGGCGTGGGGCTCTCCGGGGGGCGCAGGGTGAACAGGGAGCTTAGGGCGGTGGACGCCACGCTGGGAGACCTCGTCAAGCGGGCGTCCAAAATCAGGGAGGACCTGGCGTCCCTGACGCTGAGGATTAGGAGTGAGCTCTCTCCCGAGGTGGCTGCCCTCCTGGAGGCCGCGCAGAAGCTAAGGAGCGACGCCCTGAATGGCCAGGGCGCCATCTCCGAGGCGTCAGATGGGAGGCAGGTGTTGGAGCTGTGCGCAGCGCTGGTGGAGAAGATCGAGAAGGGCGGCGATCCCGGCAGGGAGGTCAGCCACGCGGTGCAGTGCATCGAGGGCCTGTCCCCGTCTGAGCAGCCGGGGGCGGCGGAGCAGGTGGCGGGGCTGGACGCCCAGGCCACCAAAGTGGTGGAGGCCTATGCAGCCGCATTTGTGGGCGCTGCTGAGGCTGATGGGCGGTCAGTGGAGGAGGTTCTGAAGGGCCTCAAGGACAGCTTCCCTTGGACACCCAGTCGCAGGCTTGGTGTGCTGGGCGGTGGGGGCGGCAGAGGCGGTGGTGGCGGGGGCTACGGGGGGTACGGAGGCCCTGGGGATGGTTATGGCGATGGCGAGCGAGTTGGGGCGCTGTGGCCAGGATTGTTGGTCGCCATTGTGCTGTACATCGTGGCGCTGCCTGCCAGCCTGAGGGCACATGAGGCCATCATGAGCAACTACGAGATGTGGACCAGCAGGGGAGACAGACGGCTGCCCACTGACAGCTTCTTTGAGTATTTGATGCCTTTTGAAGAGTCCATCGTCTTTGACCCGGTGCCTTCCAGTGGCGAGGGGCAGGGTGGGAACGATCGCGCGAACGGGGGCTACAAGGTGTCTGGGGGCATGTTCGCCCTCTCTGTCCTCCTATCCAAGGCAGTTGCAGCCCGGTATTAGCGCAATGCATGGGGTATGCAGGAGCCAATGACAATATAGCAACAGTCCCCAGTATGCCTCCCCCTGCTTGGTCCCTGAGGTGCCACATGATTCTGTGTATTCGAATGGCTACTGGGGACTGATCAATGGGAGGCCACTACTTCTGGGGAAGTGTAGCTGGATATGGCTTATGGTTAAACGGAAGGCTGGTTCATGTTCAGCAATAGGTCGTGGGATAGTAAGGCCACTGAGCCCATGTGTCAGCACAAATTGACAGAAATGGGTTTGGGGCAGTCAGTGTATCGGTACACATTGATCAAATGCACAGAAGAAAGCACAAGGGCCCCAGAATGGCAACTGATGTCGACTATAAATGCAAAGGAGCATAGCGAGGGGACGGGCTTGTGAGGAGCCGTAGTTGCGACTGGATGGGTGGGTTGCGGGTTGTGTAGTGAGCGTCTTTGCATTGCCATTGTTTCTTTCCAATTGCCTCTGCATAATGTGGACAATGTGCTTGTCGTTGCTGGAACTGTTGGGGACCCATGAATGTCTTCCCTTGAACATCAAAACGTGAATCGGAAGTGTGTTGTGAGCGTCAGTCGCAATTCTTTTGGCGTGGACAAGCTGCGCAACTTGGGAGTATGCCCTGGATGTATTATCTTGCTATGCTACTGGGATCCTGTGCAGGCCTGGCGCTTTGGCATCGGGCACAAAGCAGGGTACGTTGAGCTCGACAAAAGTCCACCTGCGTTTTCGAACAATATATGCAGGACATTAAAGTGTTAGATGTACACACACTTGTCACCGCCTACAAGATGCAAGGGCAGCGCTTTGTCTTGTCGAACAAATCTACTGTTCTCTAAGGGAGACCTGAATGTCGTTTTGTATTTCAGATAGCACAGATGCACTGTTGACTGAAAACGAGAACAATGTCACACAGGGGCACAACCCTCCAGAGCACGAGACAATGAAATTCTGTTGCATTGTTAGCATTGGTTCGCACTGAGGCTGAGAAGATGTATGCTCAGCTCTTTCGGCAAGACAGTAAAAGGTTTACCTGCTGCGAGGGACATGCCCTCAGCTTTATCGACGCCCAAAGGTTCGCTGTTGGCTGTGTACTTCCGAAGTACTCAGTGCTTGGGGGGGAATTTTCAGTACGAGTCCTTGGCCTCCGCCAGCGGGCCTTGGCCCCCGCTGGACAGCGTGCTGCATGAATTTGTGTTCCTTGTCGGAGACTCCCTTCATCTCCTGGGAATTGCCGCTTGGTTCCACGACGACCGCCACCACGAGCCGCGACTCGCCATGTCAAAATCCATAGCCATGTGGATCACGAGCGCATGGAACACCACAGAAGGTTGCGCCCTTCAGGCCCACCCCATCAGCGAAGGGCTCCATCGATCAATCCTCAGAAAACCGTTCCCTCAATCTTCATCCGCCGCCTGTCTACTTTACCTCGCCCCGATTTCCTGGCCCCGGCGCCCGCACCCGTCGGCCATCGGCCACGTACGGCAACGCCCGCAGGCGAGAAAGGGCTCTCTGGGTTTCCCTCTTTAATAAAGTCCCGGCCACGGAGCGAGCCCGGTGTTCCGACAGGCCAGGCTCCACGCCCCTCCACCCCTCTCCGGCCCCCCTCCGGACCCCGCACCCCCGGCGCTCGCCCTCAAGCCGCGATATCCCGCCGCCGGGCCTCGGCGGTCGCAGCGATCGGCCTCGATGGGCGATCCTCAGGTGAAGGAGCTGGAGAAGCGCGTGGCGGAGCTGATCGCCGAGCGGGACGAGCTCTATCGCGACATCGAGACGCTGTGCATGCAGAGCGACGATTCCTTCTGGTCGGGATCCGCCGTGCTGTCGGCGCGCATCGGCAACGCGGAGCGCGCGCTGAGCGCCATGGCCGCCGAGAACGACCGGCTCACCGCGCAGCGGGACTCCCTGAGGGAGGACCTGGCCCAGTTCCGGAGTGCCAAGCGCGACTCGGACAAGATCTCCAAGGACGAGATGGAGAAGAACCGGGTGCTGGACAGGGAACTGATGTTCTACAAGAAGCAGTGCGAGCGGGCCCTTGAGGACAGGAACCTGTTTTCGTACGAGGTGGAGGAGCTGAAGCGGGCGAATTTGGAGCTGGAGCGGGGGTTGGCCGAGGCGAGGGGGCTGGCGGAGACCGAGGCCGCTCAGCGCGCGGACGTGGCGGGCAGGCTGGCCGCCGCGGAGGGCCGCGTGGCGACCCTGGAGGAGCGGCTGGTCGAGGTGGTGCGCATCCCGGAGCTGGAGGCCCAGCTGGAGGCGTCGCGCAGGGACGGCCAGCGGCAGGCGGAGGCGATCAGCGCCATGGAGGTATCGCCGGGGCCGACGGGGGGCATTGAATTGGATTGGACTGGATGGAATGCGTTAGTGCTGCGCTTCGGCGGCGGCATTGTGTTGGGGAGGGGGGTCACACGGTTTGCCGCGGGTGCATGGGGGCGCAGGGTGTGGGGTGTTGGGCGGGCCCGCCGTTTTTTTGGCTTTGCATCGATTTCCGGAAGTGTGACGGGGTCCCTGGGGGACGCAGGCAGAGCTGGGAGCGGCCCGAAGGGACCTGGATGCGGCCAGGGAGGATGCGGAGGCGGTGCGCGAGGACCGCGAGGCGCTGGCACGGGAGCTGGAGGCCAGCAGGGAGGAGGCCAAGGCGGCGCTCGGCGCGCAGGCGGCCAAGGCCGCGGACATGGAGGTAACTGTGGCGTAACGGCGTGTGTCGCCGGCAGCGGATACCGTGCCGTGTGCGAGCCGCGTGGCTGCCTGGAGGGTGTGGCCTCCCTCGGAGCGCTGTGCTGCAGCGGTGGCCCCCGTCGAACGTGATCATGGCTGTCTGAACAGCGTATATCAAGGCGAACGCCAGGATTTGATCGGCGGCTGCAGCATCTGAATCCGTTATTGAGTTGGCACCTGTCCTGCTGTGACTTTGAGGCTCAGGGCCACTCTGAGGTCACAAGACTGCAGCCCGGTAATCAGCTACTTGACAAAGTGCAGTTCACAAACCCGCAACTTGGTTGAGCCCAACTATGTGAAGGTTGCCTACCCGGTTAACTAGTCACTGAACACTACAACATGCCAGAAATTACCTGAACAGACAGCTGAGCCTTTGCTTTCCATATTTATTCCAACTTCACACACAGCACCGATGGTTGGTTGACACCTTTCCTTTTTTTCCTTACCTGTGCCGTGATTCTCGTATCGCATTGTCAACACGCTACATCCTCCAAGTGGTGACCTGAAGTCCATTTGCACTTTGCTTGGGATGTGACTGTGCACCTTGGAGCTGCTCCTCTCTATCCAGTGGTCGCTGAGCCCGATTTGGGAGCCTTGCTAGGGCACAGGACTAAGCACTTGTGGACGTGGCCTGAGCTCTTTGTTGCCTAGCAGGTGCAGGGCAAATGCTTTGGCAGGCTTTTGCAAATAGTATCTAGCACGTTTCGAGCTCGGTTTTTGTCTCACAATCTTTGCTCACTTTCCTGCTCTTCAGAGACAAATTGAGAGTCTGACGACCCAGCTGGAGAGCGTCAGCACCGAGCTGCAGGAGGCAGACTCTGCAGTGGCAGCAGCGCAGGCCCAGGTGGAGCTCATCAACGGCGAACGCGAGCAAGAGGTTTGCCACCTGCGGGAGGAGTACAGCTCCACTATCCAGGACCTAGAGGGCCGCATCAGCACGACAGAGAGCCTGCTCAACAGACAGGCTGAAGAGCTGCAGGACGTGACACAGGCCAAGGTGGATGCACTCGTGAGGCTGTCTGAATGGCAGGTAGGTTGTCGTTGCTGATAGTTAGATCATGTGGAGCAGAGCACAGCAGAGCTCCATGTGTCTGTTGCATACGGGTAAAGTTGCAGATGGAAACAATCAACACATCCAAGTTCCTTTCTTCGCATTGGTTCCTGCGCAAGCAGCCTTCAAATAGACATGTGCAGAGCCTTGAGCCATGTCCCCCCAACAACATCTGCAAGAGAATAAAAGGACAAATCATGGCAAGTGGTTGACTCATTGTCGCAGTGGCCTGAAACCTTCCAAATCCAATTCTGTGTTCCATGCACAACCCTTCAAACTGTGCTACATATTGGGACCACCATCTTTGACTACAATCTGTGACAAAGATCACCAAAGCATTGCAGAACATCTACACGTCCATGGTCGGCATTGTCATGGTGGATGTGTGGGTGGACATCGCAGCAGCTGACACTGTTGCTGGTCTCACTCAACTAATGAGGGGTTGATTGTTATGCCAAGTGAACCACACCAGCTGGGTGTGAATTGTTGCTTTAGTATCAACGTCTACGTGGTAATGTGGCAATGGTTCCACCCAAGCAGGTTGGTTCGTGAACTGTGCCAGAGAGTCTGGGATTTCGCAGGATGTGTTGTGGAGGTCGCATTGAGAGTCAGATAAATTTAGACCCCTTGAGTGGTTGTTCACAACGTGGTGAAGTCTAGGCTAATGTGCAAAAGAATATGCACGGATGCACTAAATGCATAGTCAAGGCTTGTTGCAGGATCGTGTTCTTATTCCAAAGTTTGGCACAGTGTGCAGGAGGTGACATTATTGTGCAGCATGTCGCCTTTGCTGGTGCATTGATGAGTCAGGAACAGGCTAGAAAACGTGGCTGTTGTGTTGCCTTGCACTAGTGGAGAGAATGTCATCAGCTCAGCCCAGCACACCCACTGAAACGCAGATAACATATGTGGCACACTTCTGCAGCTCTTGAAGTGGACCTTTGGATCCCGGGTTGATGTTTGAGTGCTACGGGCTTTGTCCAGGCGAAGGCGACCCATAATGAACATCGCCTGGGCGAGCTGGAGTCCAGACTAGCCACCGTGGACATCAGGGACCCTGACACAAAGGGGGTTACACCATCCACAAAGAAGGCTGCTGGTGGGCAGGAGGACACAGGGCCCAAGTCATGGTTCAACTGGCAGCAGGGCAAACAGGCAGCAGGAGCAAACATGCCCAGGAACGTTGAGACTCATGTGTGAATAATCATAGGGGGTCCTGAATTTTGGGAGTGTGTGGCATAATGCAAGGTGCAGCATGGATGGCGGGATGGCCATTGTGGCTTCCGACCAATGCAGGTGGTGGCAGCTTGCCTGGGATTTGAAAGTAGGGTCGGCTGGGGCTGAGGTGCCTCCCTTGACCCGTGCACACTGATTTGCCCCAATCCTCTCCCATTCTTGCCACTGTTAGTGGCACATCAACTGCTGGTGCAGACATTCTTGGGCACAGGGCAACTGATCTGAAGACCCATTTTGTTCCCAGTGGGGTATCCAGGTCTTTTGCAAATGACAATCTCTTGGTAGTCTTTGATGCAGGGCGGTGGGGCGAGCAGAGCTAGTGATTGCCAGGGAGTGTGGGCTAGAGGGCTTTGGTATTCCAACAGCCTTGTTGTGACAGGGGATCACCTTTGCTGCAGCCCCCGGGGCTTGCAAGCTGACATTTTTTGGTGCTCAGTGCTGGTGGGCACTGGGATGCACCCACCCTGCATAAGCTGCTGCCGCTCATACGTGGAATGCGGCTTTGTGGGGACTTTTGCACTGCAATTTGTTGGTGTTGTGTAGTGTATTGTGCTGTGTTGGCAATTGGCTTGGTGCCGCACAAAGTTGACAGACATCTCACCTGAGTCGAGGACTGCACAAGTGTGTGACAGCAGCCAGCCAGCTTGTTCAACCAGCTCGCCTTCCTGAGCAGGCGTGCGCAAACCTCTCACACGTTGATCCCTGAGATGGGGCTTTGTAAGTAGAGAACAGCAGATCTGCTGTTCTCTACAGAAACGGCAGATCATGGGCAGGGGATTTGTGGCACGCTGCCTTGCTGATTCCTCCTCTGTGCTGTTTGCTTCCCAAAGATTTGGCCATGCACAGTTGTTACGGCTCAATTGGACTGCGCTGACAGAACTGGATGGACTGGGACATACAAACTAGGATGGCGGAACATGTTTCCACGTGGACAGGCTGTGTACTATTTGATGACCTGGCCAGCCGCCCTCCATGCGCTGACATCTGCGCTTCACGCCCTCTATAGTTCAGTTTTGAAGATTCTTCATCTGTCGCACGTTCTGGAATTGAATTGCTTTCTTTGTGGCATGCGTGGTTGTTGGTGTTCATAGTGGGCGCACGGCTTCCTGCCAAAGCCCTCGTTCTCTATCCGCTGGCAAGGCAAAATGGGAAGCGAGATTCCAGCATCTGGGCCGCACACCCCCATCGCACCCCAGCCATCACCTTACTGCACAGAACGAAGAGGGATGTTGCGTGTCATTTTAGAGTCACGGGTTACGATTGATGACCTTTACACGGATCCAAGGCGTGCACCACGTCGCAAACGCCTTCAAATCTTTGGCCCTTTGGCCCTGTGCTCGAAATCGTGCATTGGTGCGCCTGGAGGCTAAACCCCACGGGCAGCGATTCGTGACTCCGATGGCACCCGCCGGGCCAGCTGCGACCATGGCCATGGGTGCCCAAGCGCAGAAGTGCGGAATTGCGGAGGGAGGCACCAGCGCCCCCTCCCACGATTTAGCCGTTGTCGCAGCAGGGGCTACCCGGGGGGGGGCGGGGGGGGGCTTTTCCCCTAGCTTGGGGCGAGCGGGGCTGGCCTGGCATAGCCCCGACCCGGTCTGGGGCCTTGTTCCGGAGAAACACCACAGTAACTATGCCCTCACCCCTGGGCAATTCCCTCAACATCTATTTGATTAGCTGTCCTTCGGAGACGTCGCTCGGTCGTCATGGAATCTTCTTTTCTGATGACGTGGTCGTCAAATTACCGTTTCAGGCCTTCATGCTGACGTGGGCAGGCAACGGTATAAGTGCTGGTTACGGAGTCCGCGGAGTAGGCTAGTTTACGGGAGGCCCGAAGGCAGGCGGGAGAATAATTGATGGGGTTTCCAGGCCCCTGCTGGCAGGGGCGACGGGACGTCCAGGGACACATTCAACTTGCATACACATGCCGCTCTGGGGGCGCGCGCGCTCCCCATGGATGCTGGCTGCGCCGTGGGGCAGTTTGAGGACGGTGCACGCCCGCCAGCGCCACTTCGTTTTCGCCCTCCCTCCCACTCCTAGGGATTTCATCTGGATGGGGATTGGATCGTTGGGAGTACGCTTCATCACTGTGTGACAGGGACCGGACAGGCATACACTCCCTTAATGAATGAGATAGTTCTTGAACGTCCGCTTGTACTGGTCGTAATGTACTATTATCACGTGAGTGAATGTGTCCGGGCGGGAAGCCGTAGTTATGGTACAGCCCTGCGATCTTCCCGCCCAATGGCAGGCTGAACATGTAATTACAATTACATATTCAGAACGTCACAATCGTGACAAAATGTCCACCTGATCCAATTCCAAAACAAACACCAATTCGTCACCATCCCACAGAAACACGTATTTGTCCATGTATCCAAACTCGGGTACTTCACCCGCAATCCAAAGAGTGCCTTTTCCGGTCCCAAATGTTCATCTCGAGCGAAGTCCCAACGATATCAAAAAACAACCCAAACAACCAAGGAGAGGGCGGGCGGGGAGAAAACAAAGTGCAGCCTGATGGCGCGTCGCCTCCTAAGGCCTCGGCGCCGCCGGTAACAGGCCCGATCAAGCCAAAACCGGCCCCAAGGACCGTGGCCGCTCTTGGGGCCCCAGAACCAGACTGTTCCCGCCCAAACTGGGCGCCCCGCTGACAGGACACAGTCGAGGCAGCAATTTTTTCGCCCGCCCATCTTCGGGCCTCCCGTAAACTAGCTTACTAAACGTAACCACCCCTTATGGTACAGCCCTGCGATCTTCCCGCCCAATGGCAGGCTGAACATGTAATTACAATTACATATTCAGAACGTCACAATCGTGAACAAATGTCCACCTGATCCAATTCCAAAACAAACACCAATTCGTCACCATCCCACAGAAACACGTATTTGTCCATGTATCCAAACTCGGGTATTTCACCCGCAATCCAAAGAGTGCCCACCTCCAAGCAATACGGCCCGTGCGCCAAGCGCCCAAAGCACAGGGCTGGAAAATACAGGGGGAACGAAAGAGAACCCCCATCAAGGCGACGGGACAGGAGGAGGAGACGGCGCGGAGAATATGTCACGAATCTCGTCGGGAATGGAGTCAGCCGCGACAAGCATTCAGCCAAAAAGACGGTAGTCATACTCCGTAGGCCGCCGTTGCAAATCCACGTACTTCCATAAAGCCGCGGCCCCCGGGGCCCACCACCCCCAATTACGGACCTGGGCCTCAGGCACCAGGACGGCAAACGCGGAGGACGCCCCCGTACGCCGCACGCAGTGGTGGCGGTAGTCTTGCCCCGCCGAAGTGAGGTGCCGGGCGGCCTCGAGGAACCAGGCCTGGACGGCACGGGCGGAAGGGGGGTGGGCATCGGAGGGAAGGCCGTAGAAGAACTCGATGTGGCCGCGGCGGCCCGGAAGGTGCTGGGCCCGGCAAGCATCGCGCAGGCGAATCCAATGACGGACGACCCGCGCCAGGTCGGGGAAGCCGCGGTAGTCGAAGGCCCAAATGCGCCAGAGGAGGGCCCTGGTGGACTTGGACTTGTGGCGCCGCTCACGAAAGCAGAGATGCGTGGGGCAGGAAGCGGTAGAGTCGCCCGCGGGGTTGCCGAGCCAGAGGTCATCCAGGAGAATATGGAATCCGGAGTCCACCCGCGAAAAGAAAACGGTGTCTAGGATGAGGGACACAAAAGGCCGAACCCGATAAGGATTGGGCTCGGCCAGCGCCATGGTAGCCAACCGGAAGAGGTCCTCCGCCGGAAAAGCGTGCACGGAGTCGCGGTAGGCGGCCGGAGGGGCGTTGACGCGCCAGGCCCGCAAGAGGCGGGTAGTAATGGCGTCATGGGCGGAGCCCCCCGCCAGGCCCGCCCACGCACTGACCGTAGAGATGGCGGAGAGGTAGCCCCCGGCCGAGTCCACGGATACCCGGCCCTCGGCCTTTAAAAAGAGCACGAAGGCGTAGAGCATCTCGGGCGAGGTCGGGAGGGCCCGCCAGCCGCGGGCGGTGCACATGCGGGCGAATTTTTGGAACTTTCGCCAAATAGCCTCGCGGCCCGACGGGGCGTTGGCCTCCACCAGCGACTGCATGACGGCCAGCCGCTCCTCGAGGCGGAGCCGCGGAAGCTCCAGCGAGAAGTTGGTAATGGAAAATAGGCCGCGCAGAATGGAGGCCGTTAAGTCCGAGCATGGCGGCAAGGGGAGGGGGAGGCCCGGCGGGGAGAACTGCGGCGATCGATTCGAACCGCCAGGACCCGCCACCTCGGGGGGCCCAAGGAGGTGCCCGTCCGCCCCGCCGTGAAGAGATCGGGGGTCACCGGGAGCTCCCAAGTCGCGTCG